CTCCAAGAAGTAGCCTGCAATTCATGAAATAATTGTGAAGTAGTGTGTTGCACTGGAAAAATCTTGGGTTTGGGATTCTTATCACCATTCAGTTGTTGGGGATCTCAGGCATGCTACTTAATTTTCCTTATCTATAAAATGGAGATAAGTGAACCTATATAGCACAAGGTCGTTATGGGGATTCAAGATGGAAGGTACATATAGAATCCAGGAGAGAGACTGGGAGAGGAAGGTGCTCAATAAACACTAGCTTATTTCTCAGAGGCTTGTTGAAAAGGTTAAATAAAATCATAAATATGATCCAGTTCATAGGGTAAGCAATTAGTGTCCAACTCTTCCCATTGAAGTGTTGTTTCCACTAAAGTCAATATTTGGCAGTTGTTTTCTTTATTGTTCAGTGTAATCATTCAAATTAGATAATTCATTCAAGTCTTTACTTGGGACCTTGTGTTTGATGATCTCATTGTTGCTTTTAATTAAAATAATCTGAGAGATGGAAATGTACATTGGAACCACTGGAGGACAATTTTGTAATACCAACTAAAAGCATTTAAAATGTTATATCCTATCCATTGATCCCAAACTCCTACTTACATGAATTTACCCTTAGGAAATAATCAGAACAAAAAAGATTTATAGCTAGATGTTTAGTCAACTGCAATACAGGATGATAATAAAAATGGAAACAATCTAAACATGTAACAATAGAAGAATGGTTGAATAAATAACAATCTCTCTCTTTGATGGAATAGTACACAGCAGTTAAGTCAAATTTTGAAGATTACATGATATGCGGAAAATAATCATTAAAATGTTAAATTTAAAGGCATGGTAACAACCTGTATGTACAATAAACCCAAATTTGTAAAATATGAAAGTACCAGATAAATCAATGAAGAAGCTGGCTCCTGCCTGAATTACCAGATGCATTAAAAATTGTATAAAATATTGAATAAACACACCCCAATTATGTTTCCCTTTAAATGTCTTCCAATTCTGATTCAATTAGAATCATATACTCGGTGTCGATAATGTGTTTATTTGTATTGATGAGAAAGAAAAACAAGAAAGAAAAATGACTAGAAAGAACACTCCACTATGTTAATAACAACATTATCCATGGCCGGTGCGTTGGCTCACACCTGTAATCCCAGCACTTTGGGAGGCCAAGGTGGGCGGATCACGAGGTCAGGGGATAGAGACCATCCTGGCTAACCCAGTAAAACCCCGTCTCTACTAAAAACACAAAAAATTAGCCAGGCATGGTGGCGGGCGCCTGTAGTCCCAACTACTCAGGAGGCTGAGGCAGGAGAATGGCGTGAACCCGGAAGGCAGAGCTGAGATGGCACCACTGCATTCCATCCTGGGCGACAGAGCGAGATTCCATCTCAAAACAAACAAACAAATAGAAAAATGTTATCCCTGGATGGTAAGTTTAAGTTGATTTTCTTCTTTTATGCGTTTTTCTGTATTTTCTAAATTTTCTTCAGTGCACATATTTTATAATCAGGAAAGCAGATTTATATTAAATCAGAGGAAAAAATCATCAAGGCCTTCTTTCTTGTCTACATCTTAATAATTTTCTCAGTATAATGCTCTCCAGATAGCTTTCACAGTCAAGGAGATCCCTGTTTATATGATACAGGTAGAGTATCTACAGCACACTGAGGGAAAACCACGTCTTTTCATGTCACTCACTGAATTCCTTTCAGTTTATTCTGCACAGCCTAGCAACATAGTGACTTATATAGACCTACAATCCCTACTTACCTCCCCACTCCTTCCCCCAACCAAGCATTATAAATTAATGTGATGATCACTTCCATACCAAATGCTTCCTTCTTGGTGGAGGCCCATAAAATTTCCAAGAAAGCAAGGTGCTAGAGGTAAATCACCATCTACAGAATGGACAGTAGCAAAAAGCACCTTACAAAATCCAGACTCCACCTAACTGTTTTGAAATGGCTAGGGATGCTGGAGTGGGGTGGGGTGGGTTAGGATAGAGAAACTAATTGAAAGGGGAGGAGGGAATTAGGCAAGAAATACCCTCCAGGCAAGATGGAGTGGGGAGAAAATTCAGAGACATGTTGTTCTTATAGGACTAGTAGTAATAAACACAATCACATTAATACAAAGAGCAATAAAAACAATACACATATCTGAGGTACCAACAGTGTGCTTGATGCCATCAGCAGAATTGTCCTCTTTATTAAGCTGTGATCTGCATTCTGCCTAAACTATAAGAAAGGTGAGCAGCAGGCCGGGTGCAGTGGCTCATGCCTGTAACCCCAGCACTTCTTTGGGAGGCTGAGGCGGGCCGATCACCTGAGGTCAGGAGTTCGAGCCCAGCCTGGCCAACATGGTGAAACCCGTCTCTACTACTAAAAAAAAAGAAAAAGAAAAGAAAAACATTAGCCAGGCGGCCAGGCGTTGTGGTGGGCGCCTGTAATCCCAGCTACTCAGGAGGCTGAGGCAGGGAGGATTGCTTGAATCGGGGAGGTGGAGGTTGCAGTGAGCCGAGATCATGCCACTGCAGTCCAGCCTGGACGACAGAGCCAGATTTAGAGATTAAGAGAGAGAGAGAGGGAGAGAGAGGGAGAGAGAGGTGAGCAGCCTGTATGCATGAAGGAAGAAGGCAGTGGGTCATTCTCCCCATTAAATGGTGTTGGTAGTGACTGTTACATTCTTTGTGTTCTGTTGTGTTCTGATGCTTTAACTCAGAGCCTAGTGCTGTGTAGACCCAAAGACCAGAGTAAGAGAATGGAGAGTCCTAGGAGAAAGATGACAGAAGGGGTAGAAGATATCTTTGAGATGTCAAGCAATGACTAGAATATACAGGAATATAGAAGAATGAATCTGAGACCTTCATGCATCACATTCTCATTGAGTGGTACTTGGAATCATCTTTGAAAAACAAGGCTGGATACACTGCTTGGGGCCCTGGGGAGGAGTGTTATCACTGCAGAGGAAGCTGGTTGACCCATTCCCTTGGGGGAATTAAAAGTTCTGTACCCAGGGTGGACCCCAGGCTTATAGTCCCGAATTGTGCCTCAGAAGCAGGACAAAAGACAGTGGAAGCTAATATAGTCATTGGCTGGGAAGAAAAATAGGTCTTTGAGAATGTTGGGGGAGAGTGTTAGAGATTAAAAGGGAAGGAAAATTAGGATGATTAAATAGGAAAAGAAAAATGTAGGTGGATAATTCACAGAAGGGGTTCAGAGTCCTTTTCACCTTCTTGCTGAAAATGGATTGTCCTCCAGATCTATTTTGTCAGAGGAACATGCCTAAGAATCCAGGCACAGAGCTGAAAGTACTTGATAAATCAAAAAGGAAATTGGCTTCCGCCTGAATGACTAAATACAGGACAAAAAAATAGTGCAAAATATGGGATAAAATCCATTTATGTTTCCTTTGTAAAGGTCTTTTGGTTCAGATTCAATTAGAGTCATATACTCAGTGTAAAGTATGTATGTTTACTGACAAGAAACAAATCAATAAAAAACAAAACAGGGCAGGGTGAGGTGGCTCACACCTGTAATTTTAGCATTTTGGGAGGCTGAGGTGGGTAGATCACTTGAGGCTAGGTGTTCAAAACCTCGTCTCTACTAAAAATACAAAAATTAGCCGGGCATGGTGGCAGGTGCTTGTAATCCCAGCTACTTGGGAGGCTGACGCTGGAGAATCTCTTGAATTCAGGAGGCAGGCGTTGCAGTGAACCGAGATTGCACCATTACACTCCAGCCTGAGCGACAGAGTGAGACTCTGTCAAAAGACAAACAAACAAAACACACACACACACACATACACACGCACACACAACCCCCAGAGGCCCAGAAAGGTTAAGTGTCTTTATCAAAGTCGCAGTGGTTTCCTGACTCCCAGTGCAGCTGTCCTGCCACACAGGGAAGGCAGCACCCCCATTCACCCTACTACTAGCCTGCCTGTCTTATTTCCAGGACAGCTTCCTCACCACCTTGGCACAAACTCCCAGTTCATTTGAAACAAATGGCTTAGCCCTGCTGGGTCTTGGTTTTCTCAGCTGCAATGAAGATATGGAATGGATGACCGTTCACAACCTGTGTTTCATTCCTAAAGAATAAGAAGGGAATCCAATTTGCCACCAACTCAGCATTTGCCTTCTCACTGCCCTGGAAAAGTAGTTTTTAAAACGTGGCCCCTGACCAGCAGCATCAGCATCACCTGGGAACCTATTTGAAATGCAAATTCCAAGGTCCACCTACTGAATCAGAAACTCTGGAGGTGGAGCCCAGCAAAGGGATTTAGCAAGCCTTCCAGGGAGTCCCGCTACAGCTCAAGTTTGAGAACCACTGCTCTGAATGTTTTCTGACCAACACACACGCGCGCGTGCGCGTACACATACACACGCATAGGTAACTAACTCTTCCGTGGCCACTAGCACCCCACGCCCATGCCTCCAGCCCCAGCCCCAGCTCTCCCTTCCCATTCCTCGCTGCTCCATCCTGGGATGATGAATGGAGTTCAGGGCGCTGTCAATGGAGGACGCGGCAAACCCCAACCGACCGAGAGGGTCGCGGGAGGATGCGTTAAGGCTTCCCTGAGACTGGTTTCCTTATCATTTTCTCCACCGCCGCTGTTTCATTTTCTGATGAGTTTGCTTTTAATGATTTATCCAACAGTTTGTCTTGCAGAAGACCATTGAGAGGTGGGTGTCAGGAAAGTCTTGGGAGAGACTGGAAGAAAGGAGGGAAGGATTGTACATGGAAGAGCAAGGGTGCGAGGTGAAGCTAAAGAGGAAGTGGGGGCTTCAGGGGAGCCCTTGGGTTCGGGGAAAAGGGAGAAGATGGTGCTTTTGGTATGAGAAAGAAAAAGAAGTTGGAGGAGAGCGCGGGTCTGGGGCACAGCAAAAAGTGGGTGTTAACGGGAAAACTGCCTTAGAGTTTGGGGGACTTTTTTTTTCCAGCTTCCTTTCCAAGACTTTTTCTTTGCTCCATTTTGCTCCTCCCCCTCCTCCCCGCCTCCTCCACTCCCCCCTCCGCCTCGTCGCGCGGTAATGGGAGGCTCCTAGGCAGGAGAAGCAAAAGAAGGAATTGTTTGCGAGTTCAGTCATCCAAAAAGCTTCTTCCATATGGAGGGACCGGGTACGCTAGGCGCGGCGTCCCTTGCCTTGTCCTGCTGCCGCCGCCACGGCCGCCGCTTCCTGCCGCGGGGACCCTGAGCCCCGACCCGCCGGTGTCAGCCGCCGCGCGCGCACAGACACACACACACACGGACACACAAACACACACAGAAAAGACACAGGCGCACACACGGCGCGCACACCCTCACGCCCGCCACAGCCACACGCGCCCGCACGCGCCCTCCCTCTACGGCCGGCAACTTCTCCGTCCGGGGCTCCTTTGTTGGTCCAGCCGCGGCCGCTCGCCGGTGTTGTGTGTCCCCGGTGTCACCGTGCGTGTTGTGTGTCCGTGCGGCGCGGCGCTGTGTGGCTCCCTCTGCGCCCACCACGCTGGCCCCCGGGCCCCGGCTCGCCCTCCCCAGGCGCGGGCTGCAGCAGAGGTGAGTCACGTCGCTGAAGTTTGTTTTCTTTTCATAAAAAGTTGTGTTTATTGTTGGTTCGGGGAGAGGAGGGGGCAGTAGGCGGCCGCAGGCCGAGGCAGCGCCAGCGAGTGACTGCCGGGGGACGTGCCGGCGGCTGGAGCCGATTCCGAGCGCTCGGCCGGGCGCTCGGGGCTGGGAGCTGCGGCCGAGGCTGGGCGCGCCGGGCGCCGGGCGGAGAAGTTGGGGCGAGGCGGGCGGCGGGGGTCCCGGGGGCTGCAGCCGCTGCGAGCCGTTGCCGGGCCCAGGGGCGCCGCATCTGGTTCCCTGCCGCAACGGTGCGGCCGGGCGATGGTGGTTTCGTCCCCGCGGTTCCCGGAAGCTTCTCGGGTGGAAGAAGGACCCGGGCAGCCTCTCAAACTTCCCCCGAAGGTTGACACCAGCGCCCGGGCCCCATGCGCCAGGCCGTGGGGGGGAACCCGAGGCGTGGCGGCAAATGCGTGCAGTCACTCAACACGCACTCGGCCTCTTCGGAGGGTGAGGGTTTCTCATAGTTGGCGTCTTCTAAAGGAAAAACACTAAAATGAGGGACTCAGCGGACTGAGGGAAGCATCCCTAGCTGTTGGCGCAGAAGGGCGAGCCTGGAGCCGAGTGGCCCGAGGTGTGTGAGGGGCCGGGGCAACGGTGAGAGGTGTGAGTTCGTGTGTGCGTGTATGTGAGTGTGCGCGCGCGCGTGTGTGTTCGCGCCAGCAGCGTCCTCCTGGGGTTGTGCTCTTGGAGTTTTTGTTGATGTAACTGTGAGAAGGTGTGGGAAATGAATCTCTGGAACCAGTGAGACGGGGCTGTGGGGAGGGCAGGGAACCCAGGAAGAATTTTCTTCAGGAGTATGGAAGGGCCTGCTTGACTTTCAGGATGCTCAGTATTAATTTGCTTTTCCAGGTGATGGGAGAATGCTGAGCGATGGGAAGCAGGTGGACCTGAAGGAGTTAATGGAGGCCTGGGGATTTGTTTGGCTGAGTTTTGTTTTGGGGATGGGGGTGGCAGTGCCAGAGTTGCTTTGGAACAGAGTTGTGCTCCTCCAGAGATGTGGCAGTAGAGCTAAGAATACCGAAACCACACACCAGCAATCCTAAACAGGCACTTTTTGGGTGTGGTGGGGTGTTCTGCTGCTTCCCGCATCCCTTCTCTGCAAGTTCAAATGGGTTCGCTTAAGTTTTTGACCCGGAGTTACCTCTTTGAGTGGACTGAGTGAAGATTATATTTTGGTTTCAGGCCCTTGTGCCACCTGCAGATGCGCTGTGCCCAGCACACATTTGCCACCTAGTTCTTTGTTGTCCAGAATTCTGTACACATTGACCATTGGATGAATGTCATTTTAAAGCTTCTTCAGTGTGCAAACATTTCTGATTTATTCCACGACTGTGGCCTAAACAGGCAGCCCAGCTCTCTGATGGGTTTTTTTCGTCCCTTTGGTTACAGCCAATAAATCAATCTTCGTTTTCTCAAGGGCAGCATGGAAAATATTAAACCACAGTCTTGTTGGGCTGCGTGTGGGGGCTAGGATGCCCATACATCTGGGTGACCTGTTTTCTGAACTTAAAGTAAATCTGAGGCAAGAGGTTAGCCATTTTGAGGTGTGTAACAGGTTTCCCAGAAACATTTCTGAGGTCTTATAATTGGTACTTTTTAATGGTCTCGTAATTGAGACCCAGAAGCTTCTCGTGGTAATCTGGAAGCACCTTGGGGTCAGCGGGACAGAGGCTGGGTAGAAACAGCAGCGGAGTTACTATTTTCCTGCTGTATGAGTTTTTCAAATGAGTTTATGCAAAGAGGTAAAATGAAAGAAAAAAGAGTTGCCTCATTGGGCCACTTTGCTGACACTGCCCTCCCCTGTATAGATTTATCACTCAGAATTTGGCCCTTATCAGGAGGCTGGAGGGTGTCTCCACACCTGTGAAGCCTGAAGATTGAGACCTCAGACACTGTCTCTTTTGTCCTCCATGGAGATACTTCAGAAGGGCATCACTGCAAGAGACATTCGCTAGGGAGCAATTGTCCCCCACACCATAGGCCACTGGCTTTACTTGGGAAAAGAGGTTGCTAGAAGCCGGGATGGCTGGTTCTTTGACTACAACTGGAGAGGGAGGGTGTGGGGAAAAAACAGAGAGGACTCTGCTTAGCTGTTAATTGGTGAGCCAGCTCATGATAAGCAGTGTGATTTATGTTCCTTTCCACCCTCCAAATGGGTCCAGAGATTTTCCTTTCTTTGAAGTGCTTTTTCAAGTGTTTGGGATCCCAGCTCTCTTCAACAACATGGTTTCCATGCCCTAAGAGTGAATAAGAGATTTTACTCATGAAATAATTCAGTTGACTTTCACATGGACCCCCCACAGTTTGAAAAAGGAGGGCAAGAAGTGAGCCTGATGTGTCACAGTGTTCCATGTGCCCTAGGGGGTCTGGGTTCAAATTTCGGCAAAGCCGCTGCTGTGGTTAATGAATTAGGGTTTATCTCTGTGTCTTTCAAACTACAACAGAAAACTCAGGTGCACAAAATAATTGCTGTTCAATACCTTGTGGCCTCTGAATAAGAAAATATTAACTTGGCACTGAAAGATATTATATATTTGGAAGTTGCTTTCTTTCCTCCAAACTCTAAGCCCTCTTGCTATCTGGGAAAATATGGGACAGGAGAAAAGAACTGAAATTTGGGAGGGAGAGGAAAGAAAATAATGTGTTCCATTTAGAAAAATCTATTTACTCTTAACATACGTAACTTCTTGTCATGTCCATAATTCAATTCAGCAAACATTTTTAGTGCATCAGGCACCAGGCTGAAAGCTTCCTTGTCCCAGGAGAGTAAGCTTTCTTAGTCAAAGGATGGTTCCTCCTCAGTTTTTATTTATTGCACGAGCATCTACTTCTAATTAAGAAAATGGTTTTAAAATTATCCACAATCCCATGGACTTGTGTTGCTCATCATGTGCGTACATACTTTTTACATAGTTGTGATAAGAGTATAAACCTGTTGTCAGACAGCCCTGAAGTGTCTCTACATTTTTGACTATAGACTCTCAGAGAACAGATGTAGCCAGCTACTTTGCTGTTGGTCGGAAGGACCCAAATCCTAAGTGTGCTCCCACATGGAGCCTTAACATGTAACATTTTCATAATTTATGAGGTTGACTCAAATATTTGGGGTTAGGGGGTGGGATGGGAGAGGGTGTTTGTTTTTAATCTATAAACCCATGTTTATGAAAAGCTTGCCTAGAGAAGGTTTTGCTTCACTGGAGCCCTCAGGGTTGGTAACGGATAGAGAGGAGGTGGAATGCAGGAAGGAAGGTTTAGAGGATCCATCTCAAATGGCACTGCCTTTAGGAGGGTTAGGAAACTGGGGTTGGAATCTAAGCTCTGCCTGTGAACTCCATTCACACTGACTCAAACCACTGAACTAATCTATTCCTACATCTCTACTGCCACCCAGTTAGATACCTTCCCCAAGTTTGTCTGCTCTTTCCTGCCCTTCCTTTTATTACTCCACCATCTTTTTCATTCCTGCCACCACCACACTTGTTGATGCCCTTGACAATTGTTGCTGGCATGTAGCTGGGCCCCCCAGTGCCAACCTATGACCATCCCACCCATTCTCCATGAGTGCTGTAATCAAGTCACCACCCAGCTTTAAAACAATCTAGGTTTAAAATCCTAATTTCTTAAAACTCTGCTGTGTAGCTCTGTCCTACCTCATGATAATATTACTTCAATAGGAGCCACCTTCTCCAATCTAGTAGCTGACCCTTGATTTTTGCTGAGTTCTTTCCTTGCCTCTGTCTTATCACCCCAAATCCCTTCCATGTAAGCCTGACTAATTTTGTATGAGGCCTGTTTATAATGTGATCTTAAGAAATATTTGATGACTATTGATGAAAATGGACTGCTGAACACAAAGGGAATGGTTTTGTAAAGTGTGATCATTGTTCTTAATCCGTTGTTCATTTCAGCAAGGAGCCGGGAAGCTGGATGTTTCAGGAGGCCTATGGTCTTAGAAAAATCACTTTTCTACTGTTTTCCTATTTATAAAATGTATTGATAAGTAATTACTATGGTTTATAGCAATGCACCTTGTAAAAAGCAAATACTTCAGAACTGTTTATTTTGTTCAAAAGATGAGATAATTTGCTTTTTCCTCAGTTTCAGAACAAGCTTCCTGGAACCCACGACCCATGAAATCTTGTCAACATTTATACCGTCTGAGGGTAGCAGCTCGAAAGTAGAAGAAGTAGGTGAGGTTTTCTGCTCAGTGTGATAACTCTGGCCTATTAGGTCAGCCATTTGTTCATGTTTTGTGTTACCACTTGGAGATGGTTTTTCTCATCCTCAAGTATTGGAAGTTCAACTTTGAGTGGAATCTGGACTAAACTTCAGGTTAGTTCTAGTTCGGTTCATATGCTCTTTTAGTCAAAGCCTGTGATGGCTATGTGAACCCCCTTGTTCTGCGGCAAGCTCTGTCAGACATGTTAGATACAAACCGTTTACTATGGGATTTGGAGTCCAAGCTTGCTGTGAAAAAGTCCCGCGTAGGTTTGGGTGAGGAAAGCCATGTGTTTATGTCTCTGTCAGTGGTATCACAGCAAATGCCTTGTGGTCTGATGTACTGGGCAATGTTTATCTCACAAAAATCAGTGGGATTGTGCTTCTTCCCATCTTCCGAAATAAAGTTAGGAAATAATTTCTCTTTTCCTAAAGTGAATTTGGCCTTCTCTTCAAAGAAGGCCTTTGACGTTTGGGATGGGATTATTGGGCAGTGAGAGGAAATCAGAGCAGAAGGACACAGTTAACCTAATTCAGTTGCCAGAGAAAATATTGAGGAAAGTCTCAACCCGTTCTCCTGGTTAGCAACAGGAAAGTGTATAATATGGGTAGGGTGGGTAGGGTTGAAGAAAAATTACTGGAAGCTGAGCAGTGGAAAGTAGAGCAAAGGAATGTTTATTCTTCTCCAAAGTGAGCTTGGATAGTTTTGGACAAGATGAAGGTGATGAAGTATGTGGAGGTTGGCGCCTTCATCCTTTCGATAAGCTTTTATTGAGAGTTTGCTGTGTGCCTGGCATCAGGCGTAGGCTGGCAGGAATTAATACCAGAGCCCATGCTCCATCCAGAATCCTATTACTGACCTAAAGAGAACTGCAGAGCACTGCAATGCAAACTGTAGGGTTAAAGTACTTGGAATGGGTCCATTAAGAAAGACTTCTTGGCCTGGCGAGGTGGCTCATGCCTGTAATCCCAACACTTCGGGAGGCCACGGTGGGAAGACTGCTTGAACCCAGGAGTTCCAGACCAGCCTGGGCAACATAGCAAAACTCTGTCTCTACAAAAAAGAAAAAAAAAAAATACAAAAATTAGCTGGGCGTGGTGGCATGTGCCTGTAATCCCAGCTCCTTGGGAGGCTGAGGTGGGAGGATCACTTGAGCCCAGGAGGTCAAAGTTGCAGTGAGCTGAGATGTTGCCACTGCACTCCAGCCTGGGCTACAGAGTGAGACCTTATCTCAAAAAAATATAAATAAATAAGAGAGAGAGAGAGAGAGAGAGAGAGAGAGAGAGAGAGAGAGAGAGATGGGAGATGGGAGACGGAGAGGGAGAGGACTTCTTGAGAGAGAGGAATTGCAATCTCAGGAAAAGTCTTAAAAGCAGAGATGGGACCAGTGGTACCAAAATGTCCTTTTATCTTTCCTTGTACGTGTTGTTAATTATTTTCTTCCTTAAAACTCATCTTCCTCAGTGAATGGTAGGCCTAAGTATGCTGGAGACCCAACATTTCATGTTCAGAATAGTTTTTTTTTTTAAATACTTTTTGGAAAGTTAAAACCTGGTATCTGCGTTAACTGCGCAAGCTCAGAAATCTGGGTCTTAAGTTCCTAAAACCAATTATTGAGTAGCTTTTGGGGAGAAAAGGAGAAATGTGTGATTTTAAAAAATTTTCATCTACATGAGATTTTAGCTGAGAATCCTAGAAATACATGCCTGAATTCAGCTTTTTAGCTTTCAATTCCATTTGCCATTTGTTTTACCGTCTGTGGCTCTGAAATCGTTCCCAGGGTACCAAGTGAGGGGACATTTATTTTAAGGACATGAAACTTGCCCAGGAACCTCCTTGACTGCTGAGAGGAAAATAGCACACAGGATGGGAGCTACAGGTGAGGAAAGCGGGGCCTGTGGAACCGGCTGGCTGTAGAGGCCTTGGAGCCCCCGCCACCAAGTCTAGGTTGGAATTGGACTTTGGAAGAGAGCCCTCCCCCGCCTTCCCTGGCTCTGCCAGTATTTTTCCAGATTACTGCCAGCCAAGTGCCTTTACTAGTCTGAGCTTACCTAATATTACGATCCTAGCAGGTTTATTAGGTGTGGGTCACAGTTAATTGGAGAGGAAAATTGGGGAGTTCTGGGTTTATTAGTTTTTCTATGAAAGCAGAGGCTGCTCTTAAAGATTTCAGAAATCATCTTTCCCACTTGACTGTCTTTCTGTTTTCGGTCTTATGACTATCATTTCACAGTGGTGTTAGGGGAGCTCTTCCTTCTTACATAGCTGTACCCAAGTGAGAGAGACTAAAAATGCAGTCAGTCAACACAGTGGAAATTTACAGTTGTTTACCTGTGTCATTATGAATGGTTGTTTTGTAATGAACAAGTTATATACGAATTTGCTGTATTACAGGCAAGAGTTACAGTCTAATGGATCATCCAACGTACAGGCCTCTGAAATAATCACCTGCAACCCTGCCTTCAGAGTTTTAGTGGTCTGCCATCTGCAAAGGCCCCACAGTCAGGTGCTTTCATTCTATAGGCTTCTGTTGCCGAGCTGGAGGCTGGGGAGTTAGGCCTGGCTTTGCCTGTCTGGACCGTGGCAGCTTGCCAGCAAGTTTCACTGGGTGGTCTTCAACAATGGGAGAAGGGGGGTGGGGGAGCTCAGCTCCCTCCCCAAAGAGGAACAACAAGGTGGCTTTCTATAGGTGGGTTTCACATTGGCAACTGGTCCCTTTGTCACTGACACCCCATATAGGTCTTCAGTGTGGGTGAAAAGAATTAAACAGGTTGCCTGAAGGTGGTATTGTGATGGGGGTTAATTTGTATTTCGGCTTTTACAAATGAAGCCTTGTGTTTATGTGGCGAGCCTCCCTCCCAAGAGAAGTAGCACACACAAGCAGCAGGTACTGTTCATCGTGTGAGGGAAGAATTATTATTCTCACTTGTCATGGGAGACGCAAACCTCCCAATGCAGCCTTTCACCTCATCGCTTAGGGAATTAACAGTGGACCTGGAACACAAACTGAGGTCATCTTGTCAGTGCCAAAGAGGCAGAGCTGCCTGCCTCCGCTGCCCTTCCAGCGATGGAGAAAATGTCACTGCCATTTAGTGAGCACTTACTGTGTGCCAGGCCTTGTGTTAAAGCACTACAAGCATTATCTCTGCAATCCCCCAGCAGTGCTGTGGAAATGGGCATTATTGTCCTATTCCGCAGATAAGGAAGCTGAAGCTTAAATAATTGTAGGGACTTGTTTTAGTCTCACAGCTGGTAAATGGCACAGCCAAGATTTCATTGCAGGTCTGCTGAGTCCAAAACTCGAGTTTTTCGTGAAAAAGAAATGAAGCAAGCTTTCTCCCAAAGCAGAGCTCTTCTAGCTTGGGAAAACTGTTTCTTTTACAGCTAACAAAGTGTATAGGGTAGGTGAAGGTCTTTATGAGACTTGCCATTAAGAGACTCAAATTTAAAACTGGGACTACAGCTAGGAGATTTCGAATGGCTCAGCAGCAGCCCCACAAGAGAAGCCAGGCTTTGTGGCTTGGCTAGTGTCAGACTTTGCAGCCAATGGCTTTGTGGCATAGCTGGTGTCAGACTTTGCAGCTAGTGGCTTTGTGGCACAGCTGCAAACTTTGCAGGCAATGGTGAAAGCGACCTCCATCTTAGGTTTCATCTCAGAATATGTCTCTTGATTTTTCACCCCTCCCCTGGGATGTTGTCTGAATTGGCTGTCCTGAGTCTGCTTCTTCTTCATCTGCCAGATGAATCCGTTTGCTCCTAGGATCTCTGCAAGTCTGATCAAGCAGGTCCTCCATGCTCTTGGTGCGGTGAGGGGGAGAAGATATTTGGCCCAGTAGATACTTTTTACTGGTCAGGAGAAGTGGCAGCTTGTACAGAAAACACCCTGGGGAAGGAAGTAGCAGCTTTGACAGACAGGTAACTGACAGAAGATGGTACCTTCCAGGCAAATACTCATAGAGCAGCCACCAGAAAGAATTCGACAGGCAGTTACCTGCAGAACAGCAACGCAGACCTCTCTGCTGGCTTAGGAGAATGATGGCAATTTGGTTGCAGAGGATGTGTAGTTAGTTACCCTTGTTCCTTGTTTTTCTGTAACAAACATGGAAAACCTGAAGCCAAGGTGTTCTGGGTTTGGGGGCACACAGGACACCTGGGTTTAAGATATAATTATGTGACCAGCTACTTGGGTAATGGAGATGAGGTCATGAAAACTCAGTGTGACTTTATTTCCCTGTCTTTATACGCTGACATTATGAGGAAGCAGTGAAATGGGAGAAGTGTTCCTCTAAATGTGAGAAGTGCCTTCTCACCTCAGAAGCCCAAGGCCGTTGGCCTCTGTGCTTACCCAAGATGAGTTAGGAGATGAGAAATGATAGGGAACTGGCCAGAGGTTAGTCTGGGCACAAGGGGTTCATCTGCTTCTGTGGTTCTGTTTTTATTTCTCAGGGCAGGAGCCTGGATTGGAGGCATTTTGGTCATATTGTCAGAGATCCTCCTGGATCCCTCCAGACAAGCTGCCTTTCCCGGCCTTGTGGGACCAGGCAATGAAGGGTCTCAGGTCCAGGGGGAATTGAGAGAGGAAGAGGACTCATGGCTAAATAATTCTGGTTAACATTCTTTTTTGAGAGAGGAAGGAACAGAAGGCATCTGTGGAGTTTCTGGAGTTCCCATCTGAGAGAACAGAAGTCAGGAATGAATTTTACAAGAAGGGTGAAGTGCTGGGAAAGATGGCTGTGTTGTAGGAAGGAGCCATATTTCTGGAGCCACTTCCAGGTTTGAGATTGCACAGCATCCTGGTTGAGGGGAGGCTTTGGAACCAGACAAGCCTGGGTTTCAATTCTGGCTTTGCCAGTCGATAGGTATGTGACCCTAGGCAAATTACATAGACTCTGAGAACCAGTTTCTTAGGGTTATTGCAAAGGAGAGGCAAGATAATTCACATAAAGCACATAAAATGCATTGGGAGAAACCCGTAGAAGGTGGCTGTTTTATTAGGGAAGGAAAGAGGAACAGAGTGGAAGGAGGGTTGCTGCAAGGATTGCGCAACTAGAAGGATAAGCAGGTGGGAGAGCCCACTGATAGAGTCCTCACTGGCTCAAGGTTTACAGAGAGA